GCCTCCTTTATGAACTTAAGCAACCACTTGGGCTAGACGTTAGAGCGACGATCTCGCTTCATGCTGGTCGGCGTTCAATCCCCGACCGTCCAAGTGGTTGGGCACCATTCCTTCCCCCCGTCCCATTCCAAATCCTGATCCTTTCCAAGTGTTATATAGTCGTAATGGCATTGCGCTTTTCCGTGATAGTTCCCTTTCCCCATTCATGAACTTAAGTGCACATTTATCTCAGGCGCTCAGGAGGTCTCAGAGCCTGCAAAGTCCTTGTACTTTCTAGTTTTACGGGTCTCCTTATAGATGGCAGTCCCACTATCCTTAGCTTCACTGTGCCGAAGATAGGTTTCAGCCAATGTAGATTCACACATGTAGTCCTACACAACCTGTTTACTATCTCGCCATGGTGGCATGGTAACTCCATCTGACGCTTGTGACTGTTGTCAGGTCTGCTCATCTGAGGTTCTATTTGTGCTGGACACGTAGCTGTAATCAAACTTCTCTTAATTACGCCACTGACTGCTTCATATCTAACAGTGATTTCCTCCGACTTACGACAGATAAGAATACGGTTGCCGTATTGGCTTACCAACATAGCCGCAGACGAGCCGGTGTTCAGTGGAGATAGGCGCAGAGTAACACAAATACTTATAGGGGCCCGATGGCCTAGGCAGGTGTTCAAGGAGTAATTACGGACAGCCATGAGGGGTCTGAACAGCAAGGAGGCGTGTTTTATCCGTCTCACAAGCTGCAGGGGCAATGTTATATTTTTAGTGCTCTGTAGGATCACGTTCACTAATTCACTCGCAGCACTGCTCAGCTTTCGATTATGGACGGTAGAGCGACTGTCTCACTTCATGCAGGTCGGCGTTCAATCCCCGACCGTTCAAGTGTTTGGGCATCATTCCTTCCCCCCGTCCCATCTGATCCTTATCCTGATCCCTGCCCAGTGCTATATAGTCGGCTATATAGGCTTGTCGCTTTCTCCTAATAATAGGGTGACGGTTTCACACTTCGTAGCACTGGTCGAGGGTAAAGATGAAAGCAATGCTATCTCTCTCTTACCTTGCATATACCAGCACAAACGAGTTTAACCACTGGTCATCTTTATGGGAGAGGTTTAACACTTTCATGGACATTGCTTTTAGGAGTTTATCACACAGTGTTAATCTTAGGCTATCGAAAGAGGGTGCGCAAATTAGAAAGGTAAACTTGGCAATGCTAAGGACCTTGTGAGGAGGTAGAGCTCATCCCGTGCATCAAAACACACATTCTTGCTTCCATCCTACTCAGGTCGTTCAGCTCCTTCAGGATTACATCAATGGCATTCGGGTCCGAAGACAGCAGCAGCACACTTTCGGTGGTGGTGATCACTGAGGCTCCTGGTAATCCTGCATCCATGATTGGCTGACCAGGCGAGACGATTTCACACATTGAAAGATTCAGGGGTGACGATTCATACTTTGAAAGATTCAATGTGACGATTTCACACTTTGAAAGATTCAGTGTGATGATTTCACACTTTGAAAGATTCAGGGGTGACAATTTCACACTTTGAAAGATTCAGGGTGACGATTTCACACTTTAAAAATTCAGGGGTGACGATTTCACACTTTAAAAGATTCAGGGTGACGGTTTCACACTTTGAAAGATTCAGGGCGACTGGCAGAGGTTTCCGTGTCCCAGATGTTGAGCGCGCTGGTCAACCTGCTGGAGACTTTATAGTAGCCATGCAGAAAAGAATGGCTGGGTCTCCCGCTGCTGGACACCCAAACAACAGTGTTGATTCTTTACTGAATCCCGCTGAAACGAAGGGGGAAACAAGGAAAGGTTTGTTTAAACTGTTTCTAATAGCACATCTCTTTTTTTATCGGGTTGAGAGCTTTTGAAATTCTAGATTAATTTTCGGCTTTGTTTTCGGGGAGGTGAGTAATGCAGGCTCGTGCTGCATGAGTCGCTGCTTCGCTGTCCTGAGTAACACCAAAATTTAGTTGATGTGGCAATAGTTTCCGACAGCTGCCCTGGCAACGAGGCGGCAAAGTGTGTTACCCACGGCAATAGGTCTCACCTAATTGTGCTTGCGAGGGTTGAGCTCTGGCTCTTTGGTCCCGCCTCTCAACCGTCAATCAACTGGTGTACAGGTTCCTGAGCCTATTGGGCTCTTATCATATCTACACTTGAAACTGTGTATGGAGTCAGCCTCCACCACATCACTTCCTAATGCATTCCATTTGTCAACCACTCTGACACTAAAAAGAGTTCTTTCTAATATCTCTGTGGCTCATTTGGGCACTCAGTTTCCACCTGTGTCCCCTAGTGCGTATGCCTTTTGTGTTAAATAGCCTGTCTTTATCTACCCTGTCAATTCCCTTGAGAATCTTGAATGAGGTGATCATGTCCCCCCTAACTCTTCTGTCTTCCTGCGAAGTGAGGTTTAATTCCCGTAGCCTCTCCTCGTAGCTCATACCTCTCAGCTCAGGTACTAGTCTGGTGGCAAACCTTTGAACCTTTTCCAGTTTGGTCTTATCCTTGACTAGAAATGGTCTATGTGGGTTGCGGGGGTTGAGCTTTGGCTCTTTGGTCACTACCAGGGTGCGTGACAGTAAAGGTTCTACGAACCGTAACACAATGTCTGCTCACTGTAGAATCACACTCACCGGATGTACTGGTGGTCTTTAACATGCTCGTGAGCATATAAATTAATATCAAATAATTAAGACACAATTTAATAGTGAATTTCACTAGGCGTATTATCTGAGTAGTAGTAAATTATTATATAAAGGGAAAACGTAGTCAATGATTACCATATCGGCAGAAATCAATTACACTCCTTAAGTTTATTTTTTTCGTTATGTAACATGAATTTTGCTGTCGTATCAGAGTATGTATATATATATATATATATATATATATATATATATATATATATATATATATATATATATATATATATATATATATATATATATATATATATGTCGTACCTAGTAGCCAGAACTCACTTTTTGGCCTACTATTCAAGGCCCGATTTGCCTAATAAGCCAAGTTTTCCTGAATTAATATATTTTTTCTAATTTTTTTCTTATGAAATGATAAAGCGACCCATTTCATTATGTATGAGGTCAATTTTTTTATTGGAGTTAAAATTAACGTAGATATATGACCGAACCTAACCAACCCTACCTAACCTAACCTAACCTATCTTTATAGGTTAGGTTTGGTTAGGTAGCCGAAAAAGTTAGGTTAGGTTAGGTTAGGTAGGTTAGGTAGTCAAAAAACAATTAATTCATGAAAACTTGGCTTATTAGGCAAATCGGGCCTTGCATAGTAGGCTGAGAAGTGCGTTCTGGCTACTAGGTACGACATATATATATATATATATATATATATATATATATATATATATATATATATATTTTTTATGTATTACAAGTTTGAATTGTTCGGGCGATTCCTCTCTATCAAGAAAAGAAAAATTATTATAACAACGAATGTAATCAGGCGACGTCAACTGGCCGATCAGCTGTTGCATGTAAACACTCGCAACCAAAACACGCTGAGAGTTTGTCCTGAAATCAGTGATATAGAGGCCCAGGGAACTGTTGGGTGACTGATATTGCTAACAACAACAGCGACTTTCCAAGCAGATGTTTGAGGATAGGTGAAGATGCATTATAGAGCCACTACTGAGGTATTAAGGTAGGTGGAAGCGGCAGGCGTATATCCGACCCCTTGGACCGTATGGATTCAGGTATGATCTTAATGTTTTAACCTAGATAAATTTCTTCGGTTTCTCTGTTAGATTATTATTATTATTTTTTATTTTTGATAAGATATATCTGCCTTCTTGAATATTTCACTTATTCTTTTTGTTCTCTAATTAAATTTAGCCTTTTTTTTATATATTTCGCAAAGGGACACATTTCAAGCAGACTTTTTATTCTTCGGCGGTCACTTGTTCTATTTCTCGAATGATAAATTTAATATTTAAGTTTCCCATTGGATTATGGGAAATTATTTTTTAATTTATAATTATTAGCTGAATTATTTAAGCTTAATTATTAGCATCATAAATTAGCTTAATTATTTTTTGTATCAAATCAATCCTCTTATTGTTGAAATTGTATTTACTTAATAGCCTCTCCCGCTTATTATTTATTTTGTACATATTACGTGGCGTGTATTACTCCGTGACATATTACTATTATAGTGACATATTACTCCGTAATATGTCACTATAGTTGTGTTCCCCAAATTATTTCTTCATTATCCTTGAAGATCAGCTCAGAGTACTCTCACTCCAGGTCGGCATTGTTATGGATTCGTTGAGCGAAAATTTGTCAGTCTTAAGAACCTTGTGACTTGTGTTCAAGTACGTTTATTGAGACAATAAAATACGTCTCAAAGGGATTTAGTAGCTTATGATATTTCTATCCTCCTATACTTCGAGTCCCTCAAGGGGCGCACAAATCCAGTGAGTATAAATCCACAGATCACATTTACATTTGCAAGTTAATATAGTCAACACAGTATGTAACTGTTACACTCTCTGACTTGTGGTTGGTTATTTCAATATCGATTTTTTGTTTTAATGTTATTATGTCATTATCAATATTAAACTGGGCAGACTGAAATCTCGAAGGAAAATAATGTCTGGCACCAGATTTTCTAGAGTATCAAAGTAATTTACAATTGTGTTTATCTATTCTGTGGAGGTTTGTGTATTAGACAAATAACAAATTTTTGTTCTTGTTCTAAGTAATTCCAAGTATTTCCACCACCTTATTTATTAAGGTTAATTTACTTGCACACAAGCACCTCCTTAATATACTAATCATTAATACACTTTGGGAGAACCCCTAAGTTTACTGATCATTATAAAATAACAATTTGACGATAGTCCAAACAGTGATGAGTTGACCTGTGATGCTCCTCCAAGGGAACATTTACACATAATGATGTTATGGCGGGAGCTGAAGGAGAGGGGAATGAAAAATACATTTTGATTATTCTTTGTTTTATTTCTCATTGTTTTAACATGAAATATTTTGTGAGGCCTTCGTGAACCCGCAATATTGATAATAGTTGGAGTAGAGACAGAGGTAAAAAACGCAGAATGGAAAAATAATTCGATATGGAAAACAATTCAATAATTACAGATGAATATTTCACAAGATCTGTGAGAGCAGTAGACGGCCATGACAACGAGTCACCACCGACCGTCTCCTTACGTTAGTGCTGGTTAACACTGAGTGTCACCAGGGTGTCTGTGGCACTAAGACGACCTGACTCTATATAACAGAGTGGCTACAACCTCGTCGTGTGTGAGTGAGGACTTGAGAACCAACAAGACACGAGAGAATATAATAACTTAGAAGCTATACATGGCCTGCAGTCCGACCTCGCTGAGCCCGCCCGTACGGCAGCCGTTGATTGGCTGCTTCGTATTTACGGCAAGTTAGCCGATTGGCTCGTTCGGTAAGCGGCAAAAATGCTTATTGGTTGATTACAAATGATTTCATCCAATCGCATTTTCATTATCAACGAGTTTTGACTGCATAGGCGAATAATCTACGTCTGTCTTTCGTACAAACTCTATTAGAATCTTGAAGCAGAATGAACCTTATTTCAAACATTCATAAGGTCTATTACCTCGTGCCATGTCATAATACATGAACATTCATTTAGTCAATTTCCAGCAATTCTGAAAATATCCGTACAGTGTAATAATTTGTTAATAAATCGTATTTATATAATTTGGTGTCCATGCACAAAGATTTCGAGACCGATTTTGTTTTCAAGTCCGTCGGAAAATAGTATTTAAATAGCTAATATTAGAAAATTTAATATAATTTTTTTTGTGTGTTTATCCTTTTCTTACAAAAAGTGAATTAAATAATTATTTTATATCAGTCGTACAAAAACATGACTTCAGACTTTCTTAAAACACCCCAACTGTGACCCCTAAAAACAAAAAACAAAAAAAAAGATTTAAGACTTCCTCGCAGAGTTAGACTTACACGTCTAAAGATCATTAGATTTAGATGCGCTCACACAAAATTATACATAACCCTCGCAAGAATTTAATTACACGTCATCTGAGAATTAGACAACCTTAGAATTGAACTCATACAGTAAGAAAATGTCTTCATGCCATTAGAAAAGTCAGACACACGCGACACCAGTTATAAACTGTATTGCAAAATTTGATGCAAGATTTAATCAAAATTTAATCAACAATAATCAAAGACAGTCAGTCCATTTAGACAATAGACTGTCATTTTTTCTATGAGTTAAATTTAGATATAATGTATTCAACCACTCTAAAAATTGTATTCCAGTCATTAGTTGCATTCCAATCACTATTTCAGTCACTAGTTATATTCCAGTCACTGTAGTTGTATTCCAATCACTCTATAGTTGTATTCTAGTCACTCTTTAGTTAGAGTGGCTCAACAACAAAGAACAACAACAACAACAACATCAACAATAATAGTAACTAGCAGTAAAGTTAACTTTGTCTAAGAGACGATTAATAAAACAGTAATAATACAATAGATGGAAAAAATGTATAAATAATAGCAGTGGACAGTAGTAGTAATAACAACAACAATAATAATAATAATAATAATAATAATAATAATAATAATAATAATAATAATAATAATAATAATAATAATAATAATGAGGCTAAGAAAAGAAAATAACATTGCATGTATGCTGAAAAAATGTTCATAAAACCATAGTTTTCTAGATATCTTATATACAATGAAGCTGCCTGGCAGAAGAGCCACTCTCCTAGATCTGTTTAGCTAGTAACAGCCTGGTCAGCGAAGCTGTTGTTGGTAGGGATCTATCTGCAGGCTTACATGACCAGCACAACCTAGCTAATTAGGCTTTTGTCTCGATCCCCTCTTAAGGGCGGTAATATTCCTTCAAGTGACTGGTAGAGAGAGTTGAAGAGCCATTGATCTCTGGTGTTCATTGCTGTTTAAGCGTGTTTGTATTTACATTGTCATAACATCCTGTCTGTAGGTCAATATTTAGAATATCTCCAACGAGAAATATGTTGAAATACACTACAAATGTACAAGTGTATTGGAGATATGATTAGTATTTTTGTTGTCAAGTGTTCGAAATATTTCCAGATATTGGAGATACAGTATTTCAATTTTCATTAGAGATAATTCCATACTCACTGGAGATATTTCCAGACTCGCTGGAGATATTTCTAGACACAAAAGGGATATTTCAAAATTTCTCGAAGATTAGATACTTCATAAAATGTATATTTCAGGATTATCCAGATTATGGGTTTATTTCAGAAGTTTAAAAAAAATATTGCAGGAATTTTGGACATACTCTTGATCCATTTCGAAATATTTCAAAATCTTTAGAAATTATTTATAGTTTTCGGAAATGTTAAAAGTTTACTAATATAAGATGAGCAAATAGGAATATTTCAGCATATTTAGAAATAATTAAAGAACCTTTAACAGTATTTCCCTACATGTAGACAATTCAATTTACTAAATTCTGGTTTAAAATATAAATGATCTTAGGTAAGCATCACTGATCTCAGGATAGTGACGAACCTGGCTTCTGAAGGACATTGCTAGTCTCAAGAAATTTAACTGATCTCGAGGGAACATCACTGATCTCAGGAGAACAGCAGTACTGGTCTCAAACAACAACAACAACAATTGGTTTCCACAAAGACCCAAAGGAATAGAATTTGAGAACACTTTGTTCCACAATTTCCGCAACCACCCGCCCGCCTTCGCCGCAAACCTCCACCACCACAACCAGTTAAAGCAGCCACCACCATCGCAACTAGTTTCGCCACTACCATCATCTTGCAACAACCACTACCACCACCACCCAAGAGACTCCTGACACCCACGCCACCTCACCTCCCCAGCGGCTCGGCGTGCACTGACATCTAACCGCTCAAAATGGTGACATAAATGGCGGCAACATTGTCCCGAGGCTTGCATGAGGCTTGCTGTCCTCTGGACTGAGAAAAGTAAATCGCGGGACGACATTTGGGGGTTGTCGGACTTAAGGGGTTAGGGGAAAGAGGGTGTTTGGTTGAAGAGGGGGCGGGGGAAGGGGTGGGGGGGTTTGGAGGAAAAAAATAACATTATATAATACTGAGATTCACTGTTACTACGTGTTCACACACTTCTTATATTATATAACAAATGGGATTCACAAGACATATTTTTTGGTTGTTAAAACTCATGAGGGTTTTTATATATAAAAAAAAACTGATTTATCTGAACATTTCTCTAAATTGCTGAATATTGCACAAATTCCCGGCAAAAAAAAAACTTCCTTATTTTTGTATAAAAATTATAGACATTATCAAGATGCTATTCTTCTCTGTTAGGCTTTAAACACACATCGTCTTAAGTTAATAAGCAGTTAGCTTTATGTACACTGACTCCTTACACGTCAACAAACTTATAAAAAATTAAAAAAATTAAAAATTTGAAACATTCTCTATAAGGGAATCAAGTCTCAAATTTCCTCGTCGAAATCCGTTACATTGAGTATTTAATCGAGTCGTAATAGTTGGGCGGAGCTGGGGTGGAGGTGGGCGTGGCTTGGTGGTGCGGGAGGAGGTGGGTGGGCGACGGGCAGAGACTCCCACCAATGGCAGGCTGTGTGGGGGTCAGAGCTCCGCCCCCGGACATGGAGGAGGGCGGAGTCCAGAGTCGCTTGTCGTAGGTTGGTGCCACCACTGATGACGTCATTTGTTGTTGTGCTTGTTGCTGCTGTTGTTGTTGGTGGTGGTGTTGTTGTAGTTGTTGCTGTGGGTGCTGCTGTGGCTGCTGCTGTTGGGCCATTCCTCGCATGCCTGCTGAGAGTAGTGCAGCAGTCAGTAACGTTGTTTCAAACATTTAACACATATGTTTATACAAACAAAACTAACAATTCAAATACTATGCTAACGATAAAGCATTTATTTTAACTATTAATATAGTAACAAGATACTTGTTTAATATTAATAATACTAATGAGAAAATGTGTGTAACTCATACTAATAATAATACTAACAGTATTATTATGTCATAATAATATGACAATAACATAATAAAATAATAATAATAATAATAATAATTAATAATAATAATTAGGTATAATAAGATGATATAAATAAAGCTTTAAATATATCACCTGCACCTCTGCCTACTGACTTATATTACCACTGCTGCCTTATTCAATCTTGTGTTGATGATATCCTCAAAATGCTTCCGGAGTCTGCCAGTGCAGACTACTTATCACATGCCTCTGTATGACTAACCATCCTGTGTGATGGGGATTTTTTTTAGCATCACTTAGTTAGCTTTTTTGACACACTGTACTCCACTTCATATAGTCTGGGGTAGCTGCACTAATGCAGATGTACCTCATATATTAATAAAAAAAATCTACCTACTGAGTCACCATCACCCACAATAAGGATTAAAAAGACACCAATCTGCTGTCCAAATGGAACTTCAGGCGTTCCTTGGGGTGCCACTTTGATTTACTTCTTCCTAACCATATAAATGGCTAACAGTGAATAATAACGCTAAAATGGCTAAATCGTGAATAATAACATGTCATTCACTTAGACCATCAGAGCTTGAACCACAGGCTACATAAGCAGAAGCCAGTGCTGTGCCATCAGCAGATTGAAATTGAAATTGAAATAAGTTTATTGAGGTAAAATACACACAAAGGGATGAGGTAGCTCAAGCTATTCTCACCCCATTCAGTACATCGTGTTAATACATACATATACACACATCACAAACAATAAACATATTACCAAACATTCTGAGAGATGAACATCTACATTTCCTATCAGCAGAGGGTTGAAGGTAATGACATGTTATTATGCATATGGTGGTTACCAGTTTATATGAATAGGACGTGTATTACCTAACATCTTCATACCAAAATGGTACCCCAGGGAAGGCTTAAAATTCCAGTTGGACAGCAGATAGGTGTCTTGAAATATACATATATGGGGACATGTAGATATGTCGTCCCAACCTGTCCTCTTAAAAAGAACGTCGCTTTTGGCCGTTTGCCCGTATGGCCGAATATGGACGTAATTTGAAAATTAAAAAAAAATTAAAATAAATTTGGGATTTTTTTTCAACAACAGTAAGTTAAGGGTCCTCTGATTGGTTAGGTGGGCAGGAAATTCTCATAAAGTTTCAAAACGTTATGAAAAACGTTAATTGAAAGTTCCTCTTCTAAGCTGTCCGAGGAGGGCCGGACGACTCGCACAGAAAACGGAACAGTACGTCACTTTAGTGAGTCGATTTCATTTCAAATTACGCCCAAATTTGGTCATAGCATACGAGCCCAAAGTGACGTTATTTTTAAGAGGACGGGTTGCTGTACGCTCCTTACTATGAGGTGGTGAGGCCGTAGTGAGGTAATATGAGGCGTGAGGACGGTGGGGGTCAGTGTCTCGTCTGGCTCAGTAGGCCTTTGGCCTGTTGCCGTTATGCTTGTGTTGTTATGCTTTGGTGAGTGTGTTTACGTCTGTGAGTGCGTGCTAGTGTGAGTGAGGGGGGGGGAGGGGTGGCCTTGTTGGCCTCCTTCCTTCCTCGCCTCCCTCCTCTCATCCCCTTATACACTCACTCCTCATACACTCATTCATCCCTTATTCACGGGCTCTATATATCATTCTAACTCCCCTCCTCTTCCTATACTTGAATATTCACTACATTTCATCTCTTTCACATTCTTCCTTCTGTGTTTTTTATTCCCAGTGGCTTGCCTGGATCCTCTTCTCTATGCTGCTGCTGACAGCCATATATTACTTATCTTGAGGTTATCTTGAGATGATTTCCGGGGCTTTAGTGTCTCCGCGACCCGGTCCTCGACCAGGCCTCCTCCCCCAGGAAGCAGCCCGTGACAGCTGACTAACACCCAGGTACCTATTTTACTGCTAGGTAACAGGGGCATAGGGTGAAAGAAACTCTGCTCATTGTTTCTCGCCGGCGCCCGGGATCGAACCCGGGACCACAGGGTCACAAGTCCAGCGTACTGTCCGCTCGGCCGACCGACTTAACACATAACTTTCCCTCCACCAGCTTCCCTATCCCTCCCCATGTCTCTTCTTCCCTCCAAAAGCTTCCCTATCCCTCCCCATGTCTCTTCTTCCCTCCACCAGCTTCCCCTATTCCTCCCTATGTCTCTTCTTCCCTCCAAAAGCTTCCCTATCCCTCCCCATGTCTCTTCTTCCCTCCACCAGCTTCCCTATCCTTCCCTATGTCTCTTCTTCCCTCCAAAAGCTTCCCTATCCCTCCCCATGTCTCTTCTTCCCTCCACCAGCTTCCCTATCCTTCCTATGTCTCTTCCCTCCACCAGCTTCCCCATCCCTCCTCATTACTCCCCTACAGTGTTATGTCTGACTGTTGTGGAACACTTGCCAGACACATCCCCCTACCTGCCCCCCCCCCCTACACTAACGACCCTCATCCCCCCATCCTAAGAAACGAGGTCAAAGAGGCTGGTGGTTGGGAGGAGGAGGCGGGGTGGTGTGTGTAGAGAGGCTGCTCAGGTCAAGATGGGCCAGAAGGAGGCTGGGTAGGTCAAGTTACCATGACTACCAGATGCCCCTACAGTTTACACGGCTGAGGCCAGGAGCAAGGTGGTGACACCTAGTGATGCTCCTAGCTTGGGTTACGCTGCCTTGCCCTATTAGTTCTAGTTCACGTTAGTTCATTATACACCCCTCAGTAGGCCTGGTCGAGGACCGGGCCGCGGGGACGTTGAGTCCCGATATCATAGCAAGGTCGCAAGGTAAGGTAATCCCCCCATATCTATCCTGTGAAGGGGTGGTGGAGGAGGCCACATGGAGACGTAATCAGTTAAGCGTTCTGCTAAGCAATTTAGAGTATTGATGAACTTGTTGTATTGATGAGTTGGTTAACATTAACAGTGATTATTTCGGGGTTGCTGATCACAATGACCTGGCTTGTTGTTGTTGTTAAAGATTCGCTACCTGGAACCAAAAGATCCAAGCAGCACGGGCTATGGTGAGCCCGTAGTGGAGTTGATGACCTGGCGTGTGTGTAGATATTATGTGATCATTCTATGGAACCTTGTTTGTTGCAGTGTCTTGAAAGAGATGTTGTCTTGTCTGTATATTGAAATCGTTGGGGTGGTTGTCAGTCCCAAAAGGGACATGTAAAGGAGCAGATAATAATCCTCTCTTTCAGGGTGCTGCGTTTGGTACCGGGTGAGTTCTTCAAATGAACAAATCCACAAGGGCCGCGACGAGGATTCGAACCTGCGTCCGGGAGCCTCCCAGACACTGCCTTAATCGTGATGCATCACGTTAGTGTGATCTCTGTGTGTGTCGGGTGAGTTCTTCATTAACCAGATGGTGGTCCTCTTACTCTTGCAGTATATAGCAAGCTGCCTCTGACAGTGCCAATACCTCTCCGTCACTGAGCATGACTTTCTTGGCAGTGCCAACACACCTGCGTCACTGACGACACCTTCCATCATAGTGCCAATATGTTCCCCCTGGCACTGACAGTGTCCCTCCCCCCCCCTCTCCAATGGAGAATACTGTCACCACATCCTCTGTCACAATCCACTCATCATCACCATCGTCACAGCATACCAGTACCTCCTTCATGCGGGCATTCACAACATTCGACTGGTAATGGTCATCATATCCTTCCTGACAATGACCACGCACGCCGACCGTCATCTCATGTGCCTAACAGTGACCACATGGGCTTAGCAGTGCCCGCGGTGCCAGTGACAGGGAGGTCACGCCTTGAGACAAACCACAAGCCTGGCTGAACTAACGTCTCCTTGACACTTACCACCACCCCCTTCACAACGTACATGCTCATCTTGACAATGGGCACGCCTTCTTGACAGCTCGGGTCGCCACTCGGTCAACAGCTCCGGTGACTGTAAATCTATGAATGTGGGTTAGTTGTGTTTTGGTCTGGGGGGGGAGCAGATACTACGCGATGTTTGGGTCTGGGGGAGCAGATACTACGCGATGTTTGGGTCTGGGGGAGCAGATACTACGCGATGTTTGGGTCTGGGGGAGCAGATACTACGCGATGTTTTGGTCTGGGGGAGCAGATACTACGCGATGTTTTGGTCTGGGGGAGCAGATACTACGCGATGTTTTGGTCTGGGGGAGCAGATACTACGCGATGTTTTGGTCTGGAGGAGCAGATACTACGCGATGTTTGGGTCTGGAGGAGCAGATACTACGCGATGTTTCGGTCTGGGGGAGCAGATACTACGCGATGTTTTGGTCTGGAGGAGCAGATATTACGCGATGTTTTGGTCTGGGGGAGCAGATACTACGCGATGTTTTGGTCTGGAGGAGCAGATATTACGCGATGTTTTGGTCTGGGGGAGCAGATACTACGCGATGTTTTGGTCTGGCGGAGCAGATACTACGCGATGTTTTGGTCTGGAGGAGCAGATATTACGCGATGTTTTGGTCTGGGGGAGCAGATATTACGCGATGTTTTGGTCTGGGGGAGCAGATACTACGCGATGTTTTGGTCTGGCGGAGCAGATACTACGCGATGTTTGGGTCTGGAGGAGCAGATATTACGCGATGTTTTGGTCTGGGGGAGCAGATACTACGCGATGTTTTGGTCTGGAGGAGCAGATACTACGCGATGTTTTGGTCTGGGGGAGCAGATACTACGCGATGTTTGGGTCTGGGGGAGCAGATACTACGCGATGTTTTGGTCTGGAGGAGCAGATACTACGCGATGTTTTGGTCTGGCGGAGCAGATACTACGCGATGTTTGGGTCTGGGGGAGCAGATACTACGCGATGTTTTGGTCTGGAGGAGCAGATACT